GGGGCAAAGTTAAAAATTTTAACTAAGTCCCAGTAATTTTTTCTCGTTGTGAAAATTTCAACGTGGACTTCATTTCATTCGAGTGTTGGTTTTGGGAATTGGTGTGAGGGAACACTAAAAACATAAAAAAGTTTCAACGCTGAACAGAAAAGAGAAAAATTGATCTGGGACTTAGGGGGTTTTTTTTAGGTCCTCCACCTCCCTTTCTCCCTCCTCCTCCTCCTTTTTCCTTTTTTTCCCCTTTTTTTCGCTTTTTTTTCACATTTTTTTTCCTTTTTTGTTGTTGTTTTTTTTCGCATGTTGTCATTTTTGGGTAGATTTTCGGGTTTGGCATGGATCTTCCGCAATGTGTCCCTCTGCGTGTGACCTGTCGCCCATGAACCTCAGGTTGACCATCACTTTGTGTGCTCGTTTCAGGACCCACCGCGCCTGCCAACAGCCAGTCACCAGCACTGCTCCATTTTTTCTGCTTCAGAGTTCGTCGTCGTTGCCTGCAGTTGGGCTCGATCCGTCTTACCTTGTGCCTCCAGAGTGATTTCACCGAGTATGCGGTCTCTTAAACCCACTCGGCTATATGAGTTATTGATGATAAAAGTTATTTTTATTCCTATATTGTATTAATATTGAATTTAAATAAAGAATATGTATCATACACATCTCTCTTATTCATCATCTGCCTCTACCCCTCTCTTTCCCGTGGTTCTTCCTGTACCATCGTCATCTCTCGCTTTATGTACTCTCTTACAGTCAAGTGCGAAGCTTGAGTTTTTCAGAAATATTCTAAGTGTCAAGGTCGAAATGCGACACCTGAATTTAATATTTTGAACTAATATTTGATATTATGAAAAACTATACATCTGATTTTTCAAGTACTTTCGGGAATCGAACCAAGACACGCTGAGCAACCGTAGTGGCAACTTAACGATCTCGGCCAATTGGTTTTACAAAACCGTAGTCTTTTGTAAAATATAAAGTGTTATTTTCAAACTGAAAGATATAAGTTTCATAAAAAATGCATGCCAAATGTGCGAATGGCCGAGGCCGTAAAGATACGGCTTAGGCCAGAATAGCAGTTCGAGGTTCCTCAGATCGAACCCTTAATTTATCTGAAAAAAATATGAGTTCGATAATTTTTCTTACTGTGTAAATGAATAAGATATATAGATAAATAATTAAATTTATTGAGTGTCAGTATTACAAAAATCGGCATATATATATATATATATATATATATATATATGCAATATATATATATATATATATTAATATAATATAATGTATATGTATGTGTATATGTATATGTATATATATATAAATTTTTGCTGCCTCAAAGATTCGGTCAAGGTCGTTTATATGAATCTCTTTGACCTTGACCACATATAAATGACCTTGACCGAATCTTTGAGGCCAGCAAAAAACTTTCGAAAAATTCCCATACAAAAATCGCGAAATTTTACAAAGTCGATTTTCTCGTCTCCTGAGCGAAAAACGGACGAAATTTTCCCCCCCAAACGCCCCCGCTTGAAATTCGCAAGACCCACAGAATCGAATGAGCCCACTTTCAACCCCCAGGGTGAACATTTAATACTTTCATATCATCCCCCTGTGACCTTGAGCCGAATCATGATGGTCGGTCGTCGAAGAATGTCCTTCCAGTATTTGTCGTCGGACAATCTTGGTCGCCGTGGCCGAATCGGTTAGAGCGATAAACTAGACTCCAACCCGAAGGAAGCTGGTTCGAATCCGACAATCCAAAAATATATAACATTTTCAAATTCATCGACTCTAAATCTATCAAACCAATCAAAGATTCAAAGATGGATCTATCCAAGAAGGATAGCATTTTTGAAATGAGTCCTAAAATTTTTGAAATCATTCAAACATTTCGTTGTTTTGCAATGTGTGCCATTGAAGCCCTGAAGCTCATCAATCAGGATAATTTCGTCCATTTCATCAAAAAGACTTTGTTCATTAGTTGTCGATTATATTTCCTTCTACTATAGGGAGACCAGGTTGTAAAGTTCTTTTTAAGGCATTCTATAAGTCATAGCCCTGTAATAAGAATAACATTTCTTCTGAGGATATACATCATAAATAGTATTATATGTTACTTAATACTAGATTAGTAACATTAAATATGTGTAAGTACAGCCGAATAATAAATCATTTTATTAACCTAATAATTTGATATATCATTTTCTATATTGAGTCCATAAATAGTAGTTTAAACAAAAGCGTGAATAGCAGTCTATGGTTTTAATATGGTTTATAATTTATTAATCTGAATTTTATATTTTTTTTACTAATATGCCTGGAAAAACATTTTAAGTTATTTGACAAATATAAAAAAAATATCCAAAATCAATTATAGCCAATTATTAAACTCAATTTTAGTAAATTTATCTAGGTTTTACTAATGTAAATAAATTTAAGTGCACATATTTAAAATTCTCTAGTTTATACTAAAATAAACAAATAAAAGTGTCCCGAATAAAATTTTCAAAATATTTGACAAAATGTGAAAAAAATTCCTACAACCAAATATTGAAAATTAGAAAAATATTAAGGTCAGCGTTTCGACTAGAACAAAATTTCCAAGTTATTTGATAAGACCTCACATATTGATACTTATTCGCATTTCAACTACAAATTATTCAAAATGTTGATATCCAAGTGTATAAAACAATTTATACTAAATTCTAGTAATTTTACCAAGTTTATACTAAAATAAACAAATGAGAGTGTCCGGTACAAAATTTCTAAGTTATTTGCAAACTGTAAAAAAATATAACTGTAAATGTCGCATATTGCTAATTACTAAAAATTAATCAAAATATGCAAAAGTATTTCAAATTTAGTAAAATGTATTTAATAAAACATGAATGAAACAGCTGTTAGCTTGCTAAAATCATTGTTCTTCTTTTTGACTGACATTTTAATGTATATCGAGTTACTGTAGAAGTATCAAATTCTAACAAAATATAGATAATTTAATTTTGTGCAAACTTCCTAAATATTTCATTAACATTGGACAAACAAATGATTTGTATTTTATCACTTATGATTCAAAAGATTACTTACATTACTTACAAAGAGCATATATATTTTTTGACCCATTTGTGATGTAGATATTGATTTATTAATAACAACTGTACTTATATTAACTATTATTAGTATAAAAATTAATACACTAATATTTGTTTTCAAAGAAAACATTCAAAAACTTATTTCCTTGTATAAATAGCACACTTTTTGTTTGAGCAATGAAAAAAGTATTTTCCTCTTTTGAAATATTTCTTATTTTGAATAGTTTTAAAAAAGTAAGAAAAAATTAACTAAACCTGAGCTATTCACTTAATTATTAGACATTTCTTTAATTCATTAACATTTTTAAAACACATTTGAAAATAAACCTGTCACAACAGACATTTTAACCTCAAAACAACTGTCAACAAAATTTTGACGTTTGAGTTTGACATTTCTACAATATAATTCACTTCTGACGTTTAAAGTAACAAATTCATGTATTAAAAATTGTTTCGGACTTAAATCAATATAATTTACTATAATATATAATATTACAATGTGTTGAAAATGTATTTAACATTATTCATATTGATTAGAATTATGCCCAACAGTTTTGTCAAAATATTTATGAATTCATAAACATTAACCACATTGCCTTAAAATTAAAATATAAAACATTATTTAGTACTTACCTGATCACAAAACAGTACACTTTAACTTTAAATCTATTTACATTTGCGACATGGATAATTATTATTATACTTATTATAGTAACTTGTTCAACCAAGTCCCAGACAGCACAGACACAGACTGTTGATTTATTTTAACATATTTACAACAGAAATTAAACATAGAGCATAGAACATATATTTATATAGACTGGTAACATAGTTTTTAGTATCAACGTACAGCAGTTAAGTTTAGTTTTCTTTCCATTTCTATTATCAAGTACATATATAATATATATATATATATATATATATATATATAAAATTAATTAATAAAACAACATGTGCTAATTTTAATACGCACATAAATTTATTTCATTAAAATTATACAAATGAAATGAAAATATTAATTACTAATTAAATAATATACAACAAATTTCTAACATCCCTCTCTTACGTGCAAAAATGTATATGATTATTTAAATTCGCAATAATAATAACAAATTCGTATTATTCAACAATAGTTCATATTATTAATAATAAAATGTTAAAATTAAGAAATTATTTGGACTAAATATATTCAATTATTTCATTAATACAAATACAAAATCATCAATACAAAAAAAATTTGGGGAAAAAAAATTCTGGAAAAAATTTTTTTTGGTAAAAAACTTTGCGGAAAACAATTTTTTTGGAAAATAATTTCACTCAAATCAAACATGTCAAGGCATTTTGGAAAAAAATGCTGAAATTGCCCGAAAAAGAAGGGTATGGCAGAATTCACCCGGGGCGTAGAAGCAATGAAACAAATTTGATTAATAATTGCCCAAGCAGTGCAAGCTGCACAGCGTGTTTTATAAATTGCTATTGTTATTTTCAAAGACTATCCACTTCGGTTTGTTTAACAAAGTTCTTACTGTTTTATTTTTGTAATATTTTCAAAGACTTTGGTTTTTGGGAAATTTTTTTTGGACAAATTAACACTACACTACACTAATTTATTTATTTAATATATCAGTAGTATAACATTATTTTTATTATATCTATAAAAACTGTTTGGATAAAAGTCTTTGGATAAAATGGCCGAAAGTTTTTAATCATCGAATAACAGAGTAAATTGTTATTATGTATTTTATAGAATTCCTCAAATGTGTTCCTCTTCTTCTAAATAACTTCCAAAAAGTACACTTTGTGACAAATACAAGTGGAACTAAAATAAATTAATAAAACAAGCCTTATGCAAATTATAATTTATGATAATGTATTATACTCAATTCAATAAAATCAAAAAATCATCTATTATTAAAGATACAGGCTGTTTGTTTATATTGCATATTATACAAGTGAAGCAATATTTTGAACATTGAAAAAATCACAAATTGTGTATATAATTTACAGTAAAAATACAATATAGTTCAGAATTCATAAATTAATATTTTCTACAAGAAACAATTACTTTAGGTGCTTAATAATAAGTTTCTTAATGAGGCATGAAGATATAAAATTAAATAAAAATGATCATAGTGTAAAATACAAATTAAATAGTTCACACAAATAAATAGTTAGCAAAGTCATCTACGCTATATATACCCTTAATACTCGTATATTCTTCTAGTAGTAATTTTTTCACTAATTTCACAGTCTTCAAGATTATTCCAAAAGATTTACGACGAACCATCTGAAACCCAGAATAAAATTTATATTAGTTAAAAAATTAGATAAAAAATTAATTGTAGTAAACCTACAATGTCATGCAAGAAAAAATAATTGTACATGTACTTAATCTTGATATACATCAAATATGCAGTTGAACCCCGTTAAAACGGTCATGCTTAATACGATTTGTTTCTTAAAACGCCGCTTAAAGACCTATACTGCACTTTGAAAAATATTGAGGCCAGTTGCCTGAGAAATTGTCTTAAACAGAATTTACTGAATTATTACTTTAATTTTTAATTATTATTTCCTATCGTTATCAGTATAATTTTAATGTTTTAATAAAGACACAGTGTTAAAAAATATAGAATGAATATTTTTGCATTTTCAACGAAATTGCACAAAATAATTTTCAATTCATATGTAATAGTATATAACAAATACCTTATTAGTTCAGGAAATTTGCATAACACCTGGATCAATAAATTTATAGATTATAGCCAATGTTTAGCAAGAATATTCAGAAGCATTAATATAAATGATGCAGATCAATTTCATTAAAATACCCAACTTATACTTTACTCATTTATTCAATAGTACATGCAAAAATACTAAAAGCTATATAAATTTTCGTGCAGTGCATAATCAACAAGTGCATTTGTATTATTTAATAAGAAGAAGTGCACTGGAAGCGATTTTTAATGTTACATATCTTCTTGGGTCAATTGGTGAGCAGTCAGGAGGTACCAAATGAAAATGCAGAATGCTACGACATTGCTAAACGAGTATCTTGTACAAGAGTTCGCTGAATTTTGACAAACCTTTGATAAAACTCCTATGGAATCATAAAAAATCTTAAATATCATAATAAAAAATTTAAATGAATGATACAATGGGCGCCTTTTAAAATGAATTACTTACACAGCTAAATGAAGTTTGGATTTCATTAATTAGCAATGATTGAGTTTATTATCAAAGCATAGAAGAAGATTAAGTAAATGCTTATTAAAGTGATAATATTTTTTTGATATGCAAAAGACGTTCATTAAATGCTTAAAGTTCTTATTCAAATTGATCAAATTTTTTCAAACTTATACAGCAAAATAATATTTAAAAAAAAACCATTGCCATTTATTACTATGCAAAACTAAATATGTTAAGTGATCATATGTGTTATTGCTGCTTTTCAATAAATAAATGAAAGTGAAATCTTCATTAAGAATATTTAGAAAGACATAATTATTAGTGTAGAATAAGAATATTTTAAAGCGACTATTGTTAACTCCAAAAACTATGCAGCAGTTTTGTAAAAAAATACCAATACCGACGTTAATTTTAGTGTTTGTTACATCTACTATTTACAGATTAACAAATTATTAATATTTAGATTAATTAAATTATTAATTACTACAGACTATTAATTAATTAAATTACGAATATCTACAGGAAATATACAGTTCATTGATTAATCAATGTGGTTTACTAAATACCTGATGTGAGCGAATTTGATGTAGAGCTCAGTCGATCTCCGTATTTATTAAGAAGGTCTAATATGACACCATTCGTCCAGCCAAAACCAAGCTGGACCTCATATTCTCCGCCATTTCCTGGTGCCCCAGCATGTGTGGCATTATACTAAAGCATGGAACAGAAATCAATTAGATAATATATCACGATCATATATATCATTCTGATAATTCAACATATTTCCAAGAATATTCGATTCATATTGTAGAAAAAGATGTATTAGAAACCAATTTTCTACTTATAGAGGTTTCGATAGCTTTTTTCATACTTTCATAAATAACTGAAACTGTTGTTAGTAATATAAATTTAATGTTAATAATAAATATAAGAGATAATTTAACGAAATACTAAAAAAAGAATATATAAATATGGTACTATGTGCTTATCTTTTAACCTCGGTTTCTTAAACATACCGACCTTTTCATACATATGATTCGTTTCCAAGTAAGCTTTATGATTTGATCGGACCCATTTCTGGCAAAGATCAAATGACAAATCCTTAGCTTCCTGATTATCTGTGCTGTCCAATCCCAGGATCACCATATGCTGAAGAGGTGCCCAGGCATTTGGGAAGTCCCATTGCTCTCCTGTATTCAATAAAGTGGTTGGTACACCGCCTGGGTAGCTTTTTATTGCTACATCTGGACTCTGGAAAAAAATAGAATTAGATGAGATGAAAATATCACAGTTGAAAAAAGTTATTTAAAATGGCAGTTCAGAAAATAATGTCAAAAATTCATTTATACTTACATTTAAATACCGCAAAACCCTCTCAATCCTATCCTGCACATTCTTGTCTACTCCCAAACTTTTACCACTCCCACACTCAACGTCCTTATAACTTTGAGTCCACAAAGGAGCAAGATTCGAAGGGTAGAAATAAGGTCTAGATATTCTATTTTCTGAATCGTAGTCCATCCAAACACCATATTCATCATTCCACAATAAGGTGTCTAAAACTTCTTTAAATTCTTCAGCAACTTTCTTATAATACTCGTGCTTCGATTTATTTCCTAGGATGCAGTAAAACTCTGAAATTAGTCGGGCATTCCATTGGATAATGGAGTTCAGGTCAACTGGGATGATGGTGCTGGTCTTCAAATCGGTCAGATTGCCTAAAAAATATAAAATTGTAAATTATTCTCTTTAATTTTTTAAATAGAAACTCGTGAATCACTTATCAACAAATCAGACAACAAATGCAAATTAATCCAGTATGTCAGAAACATATTTTCGTTTTAAATTTTCCAAACTACATCAATTATCTTTAATATTTCAACGAAACATTATTAAATATGTCAAAACAAGATAATTAGGTTCGCTCGGCATGTCTCAAGAAATAAATGCATGAAAACTATATACAATAGAGAAAATGTGTTATAATGGAAATAACATATTTTGCAAGAAACTTTTAATATATTTTCAGCAGTTTATTAGTTTGTTATTATCTCAATGCAAATTTTACGTTTAAAATTTAATTTACCTAATGTGAATGATAACGGCAAGGACGCACATGATATTGGACTTTTGTCAAAGATAACACATATAATAAATTGATAAATAAAATTATGGGTAATAATAAAAAAATAAAATAATAATAAAAAAAATAGTAAAGATGATCAAGAAAATGGATAAATAAACATTAAAAGTGATAACAAACGGCTACTTGAATAAGGGGGCGTCCATTAATCAGTTGATCAAATTTTTGAGAATTTTTGGATACCCAGCACCTCCTTGGTGTTAATTGGTAATATTTAAAATTACTCCCCCCTTCCACCAAACATCACGTGTAATTTTAGTTACGAGAAAAAATTGTACAATTTTGTTTTTTTTTTAAATGTTTGGATTAAAAAAAATCAGATAAAATAAATTCACGTGATATCTTACTATACTACTACGTGATATTTCGTGATTTTTTTTCAACCCTCTCATGCGATTAATGGACGCCCCTTAAGGTTAAGGTATACCATGTTATCAAGCAGTTGTGATATCCGTTTTCACTTATATAAATAATAACTTAACTAAACTAAGTTTGTAGAATATTGAAATTTTATTGATTCGGTGTTAATTTTCGGTGTTCTAATAATAATACCTAATGAATATTGTTTATAACTTGATTCATAATTATTAATTAAGGTGATTTGTTAAATATTTTAAAATAAAATTTTTACAGTCTTCAAAGGTTCAAGTACGTCAGTTTTTTATCATTGTATATTACATAATTATAGCATCAAACCCCAAAATTTATAATTAAACATATTGGAAATTTCTAAATGTTTAAGAATATTTACATTATAATTACGTTATTACTCTTGTCAATAAGTGATTTTAACAAAACTTCAATTAAACCTGTTTTTTTTTATAAAAAAGGTAACTTTAGTCTCAATTAACTAAAATGGGATGAAAATGATAATATTTTTTATAAAACTTATTTGCATCACTAGCTATTTTCATACATTTCGCCTCCTTTTATATTACAATTGATATTAACTAGATAACATTATAATTAAAAATTTTTCTCAGTCGACTCTTTGAAAAATAGATTATGTATTTTCATAAATAGCGCGCATAGTATGAAATTTGCTAATCTTACATTTGTATTTTTTCATCATATTATTCTAAAAGTCCTTAAAATTTCATTTTTATAAATAGAAAACACTGTTGCTATTATTTGCACTATAATAAGTGATAATAACCACCTGTTTATGATAATTAGGATAAATTAAATGACACGAGCGAATAAGTTTCAAAATAATTATAAATTATTTATTATATGATTATAGATTATTCTTGGGAATTTATTAAAATGCAAATTTTATTACAATTTTACCAATATTTGGTATTTTTTTATATACAGTGAACTATTTTTTATGAAATCATGTGTTTCTAAATATTTTATCTAAGGGATAGACCCCCAATTTATCAGATATTTAGTAAACTAACATTACTAAAATTAGTATCATCTATCAATTTATAACCTGATATTTTTCTGTAAAACAATAAAAAATGTTTTTATTTAACATTGAACTATGTTTCAAGTTTCTACAATTGCATTATAATTAATTGAACATTACGTAAAAGGTAGAAAACTGACTATTTTATGATTTATAAAACTCGTTTTTATTAGTTATAAAGCAATAAATAATTAAATAACTTAAGTGATATATGGTTTATTGCTACGAATTATTAGCTATTACATTTTTTATTGTTGAAACTTGTTCTTGATATTTTATGGATGTTATGCAATTATTGGTATAAAATATATTGTGTTTTTAGTGGGAATATAATATTATTATTAATTTAATTTAATTAAATGTTGAAAATCTGGGTGAAAGATTTTTTTAATTTTTTTAGTATGTGATTATAACCACCAATAATTAAAAAAATATTGTATGACATAATAACAGTGTCACTGTCATATGATTTCTAAACAAAGTATTTAATCAAATTTTTTGGGAGATAAAGCATTTCTTAAAATGCAAACTATTCATGTAAAATTAATAACAATTCATCAATATCATTACACAAAATCAAACAATTTTTTTAATCAAATTAACTGTTTTAAAAATTATGAAACCAAGTTGTGCTCTCCACGTTCTTCGTAATTAAGGGTATTAATTAGGGAGTTTGCAAAAATTTCAATTAATCAATAAAGTATTTATCAAGTAGTTAATGTTTATTGATTAATATTTCAATTATCCTTGTTTCGGCCCTGATTTCTAAACAGTTTTATTACATTATATTGTGTTACAACTTTATTGAAAGTAAAAGTGCGCTGAACGTTTGATGGCTATTTTCAAAGTCAATATCTTCGGTTTCTCAATCAAGGATGTTAAAAACACACCTTTATATTGTTGAAATGATTTTTATTATGATCGGCTCATTAATCATAATAAAATTTATGACTTCTATGAAATCGAATCTATAATACTTCCCAGAAATGATAATTGATACTTCTTGTTAAATGGTACTGTAAGAATATTTTTATCTAAAAAAATTGAGGTAAAAAATGGTAGGCAATTGCATATTATATATTGCTTATATTATTATGGCAATGTTTATGAATATAATATAATTTCTGTGTGTATTTTCGTTTTTAGCAGTCGATTGCCTAATAATTGTCAATAATTATGAATATTACTAGAAAATTAGAATGCGTTTCCAGGCGCACACATAACTGTTGTGTTTTATATTCCTTTAATTTTTTTTAAATGTTTTGTAGTTAAAATTTAAATACATGTAATTTCACAAATAATTTTTTTAATATTCTTGATCACTGTTCTTTAACACTGCATTATAAAATATTTGATTATTTTTTAATTTTGGTATATTTTTAACAATTCGTGTTTTATGCATATACAAGTGGTATAAAAATTAATTATATTAAATTTTGCAACTTAGTATTCTGAAATTTTGCAATATCATCGGAAGTAGTTAGAAAACTATAAATTATACAAACATGAATTAATTTCCTTTACCGAACAACCTTTAAGAATCCATTAAACAGAACGTGCTTTATTCTATTCTCCAGCAATTAATCATTGTGGAAACAATTATTTATATATACTACAATATTTATATATAATTATATCAATTATGATCTAATAAACATAATTGATATTGGCACAATGTTGTTTATGTAGAATGAAGTTGATATTGAACTCAGAAATAGCAGTTCATATCATATTTATCATTAAAAGAAGAGAAAACGAACTTTTATTCAGTTTATAAGACATGCATTAAATATATTTATGTAGTTGAGTTATATTTTTGTAAAAATTAAAACAAGAACTAGAAAAGCATATTTTTGAAATTAGGTGTCTGACCAAAATATATTCATTGAAGAATAAATATTTGATTATATTATTTTGAGCGTCAAGATCAAAGTTTTATCAAAATAAACTGAACGTGTTCTATTATATATAAAAATCTTATCAATTATTATCTTCTAAAACAAATAAGATTCATACGTAAACACCTACTAAGTGTTATTAGTTTGTGTACTAAAATTTTCAACCTACATTGCCAAATTATAAAATCTAATTCCGTTGATTTATTGTTAAATAATGATAACTTAATAACAAGCAATAGTAATATTCATTTTCACTCGATCAAGAATAAAAAAGAAATTAAAAACTATATCACCAGTATGAGTCAATTATAATTTAATTTATTAATAAAAATATATCAAAACCTTTATTAAAAAAATGTATTATGCATAATCGTTTGTTTTAAACAATTTAAGGAAAGCATACTTTGGCACCTAAATGGTAACTATAAGTATTTTAATAGACAAAAATATAAATTATAATTAAAACATTTTGATGGTTAAACAAATGATTTCATAATAACCAAGTTCAATGTTTTATCCAAATAAACTAGTATAAGTGAGCATATGCTATTAATGTATTTTTTTATAATTGAAAAAAAATATTCAGAAACCTTAATAATAAAATTCTAAAAATAGTTTTATCCAAACGATGATTATGGCAATCACTCTGAGAAGATTGAATTAAGAAAAGATTCACACATCCTACATTTAATAGGGCTTGATTCAACCTCATGCTATATTTGAATCCTATAGTAATAGCTGGCTAATAAAAACACAAATGTAATGTAATTTAATAGGTAAATTATGTAATTGACATAAATATGAGAGGCCACCTTATAATAAATTGCACGGAATGTATAATTGCCCCACGTCTCGTGGCTTACACAACATCAGTTAATTCTAGTTACGCTCTTACTATCAATGAATGCAAATATAAATGATAAATAATTAACATTTTGACGTACTTTTGTTGTTTATGACAGCTAATTATGCGTTTGTGCGGGAACTGAAATGAATAACATGATAATTCTTCAGTTTTTATCGGAAGATTACTGAATGATCTCGAGGAAACTTCCTTGAAAGCACTCTTTCAAATTTGACAATGTTAACGGTCATTAGCATATAATAATCACATCCTTGACAAATATTGAAATAATTAAATATTTAGAGGCACGATTGCACTCATCTCCGGTGGATCAATGGCAAACTTTCCAGCCTCTTATGGCTAGAAGTCCCTTACGCTCATTTTTTTCTATTTATATATAACTATTGTTCCATCCAAATTTTATCGCCGTGATGTGAATTAAATTCTTTATCGTCAACATTGATAGGAGATGTCCGGTTTCCGCAAATTACTACGCGAATAGAACTATTAAAATTTATCTTGATGACCAATATGGAAATACAGTATTAAAACAATATCAATACAAGAATTGATAAAGACATTTTTTAAATAATTAATTTATCCTGTGTAATTTGTTCATTTAAAAATTTTATTATTATTTCGCGTCGGCCCATGCAACTATTATCTACGTAACAATTAATTTTTCATTTACTATTTTTACATAAAACGCATTAGACTATAAAGCAACAAATTACAGTTTGCGACTACGCCGAGATCAATATCAGATCTAAATTTAAACTTGCTAAACAATAAAAACCAAATAAAGTATAATACAAAAGTGACTCACCATTATGGGTATTGTCCTTTGCCACGAACCATCTCGATGAGAAATCCCAGCCAGACTCGGCGGCAGATTTCAGTTGTTTGTAATGTTTCTCTCTATCAGCTTCGTTGAAAAATTGAGCACTCATCACATCCTCCCTGTACGACTCTGGTCTCGGTCCAGGAAAAGTCTGGCTATACACAGCAACAGTATAATTTCTATTATGAGCAGGTACAGTTATTGTTCGTTTCGACAACCAGAAATTAAGTTCCTTCTCCAAAGTATGCGTATGATTCTTCAAAAACTCTAAATCATTTGTTTTATCAAAATAACTTTTCACCATTGGCGTCAAAAGTGGTGGTTGCGAACGCTCGTAATATATACGTCCACCGTTGGGCACAAAACCAAATTTATCCACTAAACCCAAAAAGTTTTCAAGCATACCTTTAACCGTGTGATGCATTTCAGATAATAATAGACCTTGAACGATCCAGTATGAATCCCAATAATAAAATTCTCTAAAGCGACCACCAGGCACTACCACCGGATTTTCTACGTATATTATGGAATACTTTTCTTCTTCGTCTTTGATTTTTGGATCCATTTTTCTTCCTAGTTGTTTCCACAATATATGCAATTCCTCTGCAAACTGTCTTAGACTGTCATCATATATTTTATTCAAAAATTCTGGGTCTGGTCTCCAATCGTCCGGTATCCATGGTATGAATTCCTTACCAACAGGTTCAAAGTAATTATTAACAAACTGTTTGATTGTAGTCTGGTTTGGCTGATTTGGCTCTATTTCATTCATCATTTCATAAAATTTTTCCATAGTTTTGTTCTCATCGTATTTCATCTTCATGTCCACGAAAGTCTTGGAGTCATTAAAAATTTTAGCCATTTGCACCGTATCCAGCAACTCGCCCCGGCAATAGATTTCACTGTAACGAACACGCACGGTTTGTAGATTTGCATGATGATGTAAATTTCAAAAACATATAAAATTTTCAAACACGCACAATCCTGAATGGTGGTATGATGTAGGTGGTGAAAATTAAGTGAAGCATGATCGGATTTTCCTCACCTTTTACAGGCGAAGATCAACTTTGCCTGAAGAACAAATAGTATTGGCAGCAGTAAGAAACATATTGAGTGCGAATGCAACTTGAGGTTTAGTTTAAGGGCAGTAGCCATTGTGGAGCTACTTGTTGGTTCGCGAGTTGCCGATCGGAAAGTGTTTGGAAGAATGGTGAATCGGTACTGATGCTAAGCTACAAATGAGCGTCTGGTGCTACGCTCGATTATTATCAGGCGTTAGAGAGGGCATTGTGGCACAAATTGTGCACGTTGCGTCGTGGTGAAATAATTGCAGGCTATTCAAGCGGACACCTCCCCACCAGGCGGCGGCGGCGGCGGCGGCGGGCTCGTCTGATACCGACGCGGGTTTTCCTTGCGTAGCGCCCGTCACATCGCGGCGGGAAACTGGCCGGACGGGGCGCTCTACAATGTTTCACTCTATCGGAACTGTATCATGATTAATTATCGATTTGTATCTATTGTACACAGAAAGCCCCGAACGAATCAATCTTAGGTTGTGCCATCACCTTCCAAATTTACATTTCTATACTTGCAATGTAAGAATATTGCGATCGACGCGTTATATATGCCAAAAAAGATGTTCCTAAAATACCATAACCGCAATCAATGTTATTCATTAATGTTAAACATGTAATCGACAATACAATGTTTTTACAAAGTCATTGACACAAACAAAGTACTGATTAGTAACTTCGTATAATCAAAAACAAATCAAATAGAACGCATTTCACTTTTCCAATAACAACATATGATATTATCTGATTAACAAGTAATAAATTAACATACATAAAATATAAGATAAGCAATTCCTTGCTCGATTCCACGTAAATCAGACGGTAAAAATAATAAGTTGACAAACAAATTTAATCAATAATTTATAATTATATAATTACATGTACGTATGCTCAACAGGCGTAGTATTGCTATTTAAAAATCTTATGGGATATGTTTATATTTGAAATCAATTGAGAAAATAGTCACCGAGAAATTTTTTGATCCAATAAAAAACTTCTGAATTAAAATCTTAGAAAGGCACAACTTTGATTCAATAATTTGTTACGATTTAGAAGGATTTCACAGTAAAGTGCTCAAAAAATGATAATTTAGAGAAATTGTACAGCATTTATGAACAATTGTGAATTTAAAATGTACAATGATATTAAAAATCTCCATGCAAATATAATTATAGCTTGAAGTTGCTATGAGAAAAACACTGTATTTTCCCCTTATTCCATTTTTTCATCATTTTTAAACCATTTTACAAAAGTTCGAAGTTGCACGTTAATTGAAAATATTGCATAACAAAATAAGTATATTAGAATATTTTCATCTAATAACATATTTGTTATAAATGATGCTATTCGACATTTGAGCCCGGGTTCAAAGCAAAGAAATCGAAATTGCAAATCTCTTAAGTGAAAATACACACTGCGTCACCAGAATTCGCTGACGATATCTTGTTTTTTGCACATGGGATTAAAATGATTCGATAAGATAACATCTAAGATCAAATACTTTAATTATTGCTTGTTCACGGCGAAGTATTAGCAAAAATTGTACGGTAAGAATTAAAAATAATCTAGGTCTTTTTAAAAAAAAAAATTAATTTAGTCGTGCCAAAAAAATATTACATTTACAACAAGCTTTATGAGAATTAAAAAAAATTGGAACAACAAACTCGGCGAGAATTTTATAATCTTTATTACTTTTACTTACTAAAACCCTGTGGAACTTTGTGAAACACTTACCAAAACGTTACTAAAAATTTTAAATCAACAATTCCAGGTCGTTCCAAAAACTACAACCATGGAACATTAACAAACAAATACTAAGAATTTCCACATGTTCCTATTAATTTCGAATCTATTATATAATTCTATATTTATTTATCTGATCATACAAAACTATTTATTAAAAAAAGGTCCATTACGAAATGGGAATTACCTAGTTGTTACGACATGATTCAAAAGTGCACGTCCAATAAAGTTAGCACAAACACCTCCTTGCAACACTGTCTTAAAAGCATAGCCCATGTTTTTTCGAACTTAATTTTTAATATACACAAATAGATAATTATCACTATGACTAACATAAAAGCTGAGAGTTATTTGAATATATAATAGTTTGATAAAAGCCGTTTGATAAAGCGACATGTGCTGCATTATGAAAATTTTATTAATTAGAAGCATTATCAAAATTAGACACGAGAGGCCAAATTGGAACTTTGAACTTTGGCGAGAATTTGGTGACGTTTGTGGTATTGGCAATAATAGTGCTTTGATAAGTTGATTATGAATGATAAAATCATACTTTAGATTATATTGATACAATTAAAAACAAACGTTTGAAAAATTACTGATATTCTTTTTTCAGAGCTAGTTATTCTTTGGTAATTAATATGTTTTGTTTATTATTTTAGTAATCAAAATAATTCCTTCTGACAACAACAAATAAATATGACGTCAAAAATTTAACAAACGCACTTCATGCATCATTTATTTCACTATCATAATCTGACTGATTACAAATACCAAAGAACTTTGAATATCATTTAAACTTTTTTATACTCTACATTAAAAGGAACAATCTCAGCTATTTGATGACGTATTAAATTTTAGTTACAAAACTAAATAATATTTATTATCAAATGTATGGCGTCAAAGATATCTAAAAGAAACTGCATTTCAAGTGGAAATCACAGTTGCTGAAATAAGTACGTCAATAGTTTATCAGCAAATCGATTATGATCGATCAAATAGATATAAAATAGTTTTATAGAAAGGATTTATAAAGGTGGAAACAGAATTTCTATCAATAAATTACTTTATTGATGTTAAGCATTTAGGAAATATATACAACCCAATATTTATCACAAATCGATTACGATTTGACTATGCTGGAAATAAATTTTTTACAAAAAAATTTTCTTTTGAAATTGAATTTGCAGAAATCTATATTGTATATTCCAGGAAAAATTCCTTTCAAATTTTTATTTGTAAAATCCTTTAAAAAAATTAAAAAAATACTTACTTTTTTGGAAACATGCAACTTTGAGGTTGATGTCCTTCGCTTGAAGTATTTTCTAAATCCATAGTTTATTTTCTAAATGTCGTCGTTATAAAATAAATCTGAAAAACAGTATAAAAAAGACAGTATTCAGAAAAATAAAATACAAATTTACAGTTTAAATTAATACTGAAAATGACGCAACATTATAATATATGCCAAAAGATTTGGAAAAATAAAGATTACTGAATAAAAAAATTTGTACTTAAATTGCAGGAAACATCAATATCAATATTATTATAAAAAGCTAAAAATATGTAATTATATAGTAAAACATATTTTTTCTAGTACATCTGTGAATTCATATCATTATATATAAACATAAAAAAAACATATTTTTCCTCTCATAGAACATAATGAAGGTGTACATAACAAAATTTTTATTAATATTTTTTTTATTAAAAATGGGGCATATTAACTTTATTCGAAAAGTCAATGCCAGCAAGATAAAAGTGATTGATTAGCAATGGAAAAATTGATCAATCAACAGTTGAAATCTGATCGATTTATAGAACAAAAACAATCTTTTATTTATTTGCAAGTATCGCAGATTGTTCTGTGCACTTGGCCCAGTTGTTTCCCATATCATGCGGGCACCGTCTCAAACAGATAAATAAATAAATTTCATAATAAAAAAATTTGTATTATCAACCACAACTCGGTAGTTCACCTTAAGTTCTACCATTTGAACTTCGAATTGCTAGAATTGATCAAGGAACTTCTGTTTCATGAATTTGAATTCCATTACCCGAGAGTGAGCAAAAAATGGAGGTCAGCAAAATTGTAAAAAAAATTGACTAAATGTACTCAGCTCACGTACAGGGTCAGATTATTTTGCAATTAACATTGTGTAACCTAAATGATAATTCAGGCTTAGTATTGCATTTAATTCATTTTTAATGCTAACGATTTTTTGTCAAAAATAATTTGTCTGTTGCTGAATTCGACGAAGCATAAATATTAGTCGAATATAGATCATTTATAAATGGTAACAAATTGAACTTTTCCGCAAATTTAGCTTATTTAAATTGCACATGTAAGCGGAAAGTATATTATTTTGCAATATTCCACAAACATACTTCAATAGGTTAATATTTGTCAACAAAAATACAATATAAAAATTTGTAATCCATAGTTATTTTCTGACATTCAGGATGATCATTAAAAATTGAGTCTCTAACCATGAATCTGTCTGCATAATATTAAATGCAAAAAAAATATCCTTAAATATTGCAATAACTATATCCTTAACACATTTATTTGGCATTTTTTCACCAGTTTGCTTGAACAAAGTAGTCGAAGATGATGAATTACATGTGCACCAAACAATTCCAAAAAGTTTCCTTCAGTTTAAACTAAAGGTTGGAATATAAAATCATATTTTAATAATTTTATACCTTACATGCATTATATAGTTTACAAAAAATGCATAAACTAATTACTATTTCAAATAATTCACTACTTTTAATTTTTCACAATTGATGATTACCTATCGATTGGTAAATTGAATTTAAATTTTGGCAGATGGCTTGTCATTTTCATATCGAAGGCCAATTGTACAAAAGTACACCGGTATTACCAAATTTGATAAGATAAAATATTTATAGAATTTGCTAGTTATATATGGGTACCAAAAATTATAATCGATAGTCTTATCGAAAACAGTAGACTGGTTTCTGGTTACGATTAACTTAATGTTAATACCAGAAAATCTGATTTGCTAATTTATATTAGCAAAGTAAAAGTCGAGAAATCGTTATAACCATGATCGTCTTAACGGGGTTCTACAGTTAATATAAATTCGAGTGTTTGTTTAACTTCGTGATCTTGACTGATAATTTTCAATGATGGTCGCATCTCGACAATGCATAGATAATAAAATTACAATAAATAATTAATCGTGATGCAATTCATAATGAGACGTTATTAACAAACGTCCAGAGATTTATCTCCAGCTTTGCATAATGCTGTGGTTACAGTCGAAGGTTATGGTAATAATGAATAAATTAAAAGTTATATTCAATATTTTGTCACTTCCAAAATTTGCATCTTGTACATATATATCGCCATTTATTTATTTGTTTATTTGTTAGAAAGCTGTAATCCATAATTGTAAGTTAATCAAA